ATAGTATGATATACAAATCTATATTACACGTATGTATATTACAAATACAACGCAAAAACAAAAATTAATTCAAATTATTCGCCCTCATAAGAGCTAATCTCTCAAAGTTCTTGTCGCTCAAGTTTTCTCCGCTAGTCGCGTCCACCATCCCCATAGAAGCAAATAACCGTTCAACGGGAGCAGAAGACGTTATTGCGGTATTGCATTTGAGGAAAACATCTTTAACTAACGAGTAGTTTTGGAGCGAGTTCAGAGATGTAGATTTATCCAGTAAATATGCTTCGAACTGATGCCGAGCACCATCTCGTTGAAGGTTGTTGTAATCAGCTAATATAAAAGAAAATAAAGTAGAAAAAAAAACTATTGCTTTCAACTAATTTCGTATTCACGTTTGGTATCTCCGAAATCCAAAAATGAGTTTGTCATATCAAGTGTTGGTAATTCGGATGATGCTTCCGTATAATCGCAGCAGTGTGCCGAATACTTAAGGAACCAGTCTTTTAATAGTTCAGCACTGAGTTGTGGTGCCGTTCGCTGCAATACGGGTAAGAATCTTAATTTCAGTGCTGGGCAGGTCATCGTTGCGACAATGGCTACCTCCGACTCTTTATCGCCTTAAAAGGTATACTTTATTAGTAGGTACTTAATTATGTATACCTACATACTAAAATAATTCTATAATTACCTTCAAAGTAGGTTTTGAACCTTTTCGTCAAACAATTTATCATTTCGCCACATATTGGAGATAGTGCGCGCAGCTCATTGGTTTCTTGTAGTCTACCCAATTTAACCTTCAGAGACATAAGCGCAGCAATAAAATTTCCGAAGTACATATTTTCTTCATTTTGTAAAAAGTCAATGGCACTGGCTATAGGCTCCATCAACTTCGCATAGCTCTCCAAATATTCGATGTCTGGCGGTGTAAATTTTGCAATATTTAGTGCTGCACATAGAATCGATAACTTTTCTTTATGTGCCAATAGATTCTGCACGCTGTCAAATAAAGAATTCCAACATGTGACTCTTGGAGTCCTTAGAGATGAGGATATTATGCCTTGTATTAACGTAGCCGATTTTGGGCGTGCACATTTGTGCCATATATTGGAGCAGCTGAGAAAAAAAATCAAATTTAATAAAATACTAAATACTAGCAGCTTGCGCACAAATTGTTACCGCATGAATGCCTGCTTGTGTCGCGAATACAACTTTTTATTTTGTTTGATGATGTTTAGAAAATCAGTAGACGACAATAGATTTAGTGTGTGACTGACACACCTAAAATATTGTGGCAGTTCTAATGGTGTGTCGACAAACTTAACCCGCCCCTCTTCAACGAAAGACTCTTCTGCTGAATCACTACTACTACCGATACTTTCTTCCGCTACATATTAAAAAAAAGTAGTAAATCTTAAGTTTTTATGAGATACTTTACAAAAATGTCTGACTTCAAAATTACCTGTTAGACCATATTCTTTGAAAGCCTTACAAAAGTTTGCACCATTGTCTGTTATAGTCAACTGCAACTTATTATCTTCCAAATTGAATTCTTCATGGATAGAGGCAATCAGCTGCGCAATCCTGTGACAGGTAGGGCTGCCTTTAAAACGGCGACAAGCCAAAGCTATATGGCTGCGTTTGAAAGTAGTTGGACATAGCCAATGGCAGGTATATCCAAGAAATGATATCTCGCCAATCGACCAAATATCCGCGGTTGTGCAATAATATTGCACTGCGTTTAATAAATCTTTAGTTTCTGCTAACCACTGCAAATGTTTTTCTTCTAAAATATCTTCCAATACGCGCCTGCTTTTGAACTCTATCTGTAAGCCTTTGAATAGATTTTTAAATTCCGGTTTTTCCACGGTACTCAAAGGACTATAGGTCGCGGCTAGAAACATCAAAACTCTCTCGTCGAAATCGTTAGTCTTTTTCGGCTTGTTTTCCATTTCAATTTTTTTCCTTTGCTCATATTGTTTGAACTCATTTTCATGGTATAGGCGCAAATGTCTTATAAAGTTTGAGGAGACACCCAACGAACCTTTAATTTTTTGCGGACACATTCTACATTGTACTAGTATTCCTTCCATTCTCCTCAAGTACTCCGTTTCATCTCTCTACATATGTAAATAAAGATAAGAAAACATGAAGATGCAATTCAAATTTTTGCCAACATACCTTTTGAATAACGCTAAAAAATCCATTTTCAAAGAGAATGCGGTTGACTCCCTTAACGTTTAATTTTTGTAATGTTCCAGTTGCTTTCTCGTCTTCTTCATAGCGTCTATTTGTGTTTTAAGATTTCAAAAAAGTTGGTTTTTATTTGTTAATACATACATACATACACATATTTACGTCAAATGACCAGACATGGGCATAGTGCACTAAATTTCAAGTACCACTAATATTGAAAATAGTGGAGCTTATTGTTTTCTTATCCCACTAAAGTATGGTGGGACTCAGTTTTTTTCACTGCACTGAGAAAAAAATAAACCATATCCTCATCGTTTCAAGGTAAAACACATATGATTTTGCGCCAAACGATCTTTTGATTACTTTAACCCTCTCAGGCCCGTATGAATATATTTAAAAAACTCATGATTTAAATGGTAAATTGTGGTTCATCAAGGATTAGATAAATAATGAAAATCAACGAACAAACAACATTTTTTTTGTTATGAAATAATATCTCCTAAAATATTCATTAACTTCGATTAAAGTGTTTTTTTTTAAACGTGTTTTTTCAAAGATTTAATTTTTCTTCAAAAAAAGTTATTTTCCTATAAAATTGCTTTAAGTATTGTATTTGTTTAATTTCGGTAGTTTTTTTTTTTTTTGGAAAAAAATCTTTTAAAAAATATTTTTTCTCCAAAAAGTTTATAAAAAACGACTTTTCCCACTAAAAGTTTCGCCCTTAATATTATTATTTTTAATTCTGATAAGATACCATAAATAATTTTTCCCGAGCGAATAATTTTTACCCCAAAAATATTTATATCCCCAAAAATGTTTAATTTGTTTAAATATGTATTTTTCGCCTAACAACAATGTTTTCCTAAATTACGTATTTTTGTATTTTTTTCTTAAGAAAATTCTTTAACCACTGTTTTCATAAAAAATTCCACTTAAAAAACTTTCTTAAATATTTTAAAAGTTTTTTCAACTTTGAAAAAAATCTTTTTCTAAAATTTCATTATCAAAATACTTAGCTAAATGAATATGAGACACATTTCAAACAAAGA